GTGTTTGTATTTGTCGTATGATTATAAATTTTTCACAGTTTTACCAAGTTTTAAAACAAAAAAAATCTATTTAAAATTTATAAAATCTACTAAGCATAAAAGTGTTGTAGCAGTGAGAATTTAGATGGACAAAAATCTAAATTTACCTTATTTCAATTCATTAGAATTCATAGCTCTCTCAGTATAGCATTTGCGGTGCTTAAGCAATTTTTGAAGTGTTCACAGTTTAGTTATCTGTCAATAAATCAAACCTTCTTCTTTTTTTTTTTTAATAACTTTAATAACAGTGGGAAAAAAAATGGTGAATTTTATTTGAATACTCACAGTTGTCAATGTATTTTACTTCTGAACAGATTATCGATGACAGTTTTGTGTTGCTTTTTCGGTTTTTTTCTGTTATTTTCACTTTAACTGTTTAACTTTACACACAAAAAAAATTGTGTAGGCTTTTTTTAGCAGATAACGTTGGCATTTGTTGTGCTTATTGGAATTTATCAGACTCTGTATTGCATTTTTTTTAATTTAATTATGCAATTTGTAGTAAAAAAAAACATATCTATTATTATTTTTTTAAACACTAAAAGTTTAGCTAATAATAAATATTTTTGAATGTTAGTGATAAATATGCCTTAGTTGAAATAGTTTTCTCTTTTTTTTTTCGAGATGTTTATTTCAAACAGTTGAAGAGATTCTATTATCCATTTTTATTTTTTTATCAAATAGGAAATTGTTGAAATTGGAAAGCAAATTTCATTGCATTAAAAATTAGTATATTTTCTTATTTATTTATTTATTTATTGTCTAAATTTTTTTGCGGTTATCAATTGAGGAGACAAAAGAAAAAAAAGTTGAAGATAACGATAACTTGTTGCCTTTACTCAATTCCTTAACTTTTTTTTTCTTCGTTTATCACTATTTTTTATCGATTATCGGTAAAAGAAAAATGTGCAAAAAAAAAGTAAAATGGACTGAATTATCTGTTGAGAAAAAAAAAAAAAAAGAATTTTTTTTACACTGTTAAACTTTGCAGTTACCCCAAACTACAAATCATTTCAATGCTCTAACTTAAGAAACGGGAGAAAAAAAACGAAACAAAAAGGAATTAGAGATGTCACCTGTTGTAAGCTCATAGATTATGTAAGTGATTTTTTTATACAGTTCAAGTGTAGGGACAAAAAAAAAATTTAGTTTTAAATGAAATTATAAATGGAGAGATAAATGTACAGCTATTGGAGAAAAAAAAAAAACTTTTTGATACAGTTTTTTGGCCATTTATTTATTTGAAATGATTTTGCACTTTTGTCGCATAATTACTGACATCTTTTTGTTGTTGATTTTTTTTGCAAACTTTTGTTAGTGAATGGATTATCAAAGAGCAATGTTGTCTTTTTTTTTTTTTTTTCGATTTGGAATTGTCAGCTTTGGTTTTTTTTTGTTATTATCACTGCTTAACGGTTTTTCATTTCTATATAATTGGAACATCCAAACTTAGGATAATAGAATTGCTGCAGTACCCAAGATTTGTGGCTTGATTTTTTTTTTCTGTACCACAGGAGTTAATTTTTATAAGACAGTTGATCGGGTTTTTCAAGTTGGTTGCTTTTTTTTTCTCCTTCTTTTGAAACAATTATTGGTATTTGA